TCTGTTGACACAGTCCCCCTGGGGGGGTACTGTTGACACAAACAGTCAAACATTGACTGTTTGTGTCAATGTTTTCAGCTGTTTATGTTCGTGCGCAACGCGTCCGCGCGCTGCCGCCTATGTGGCCAAGCACATAAATTAGCTCATAAACAAAGAGATCGATGTTTTTCCACGCTTCTCACAAACAAACGAGACACATAAATAGAAAGTAGATATAATAACATTCACATTCGTCTGTAAATGCTGATACTTACCTGCCAGGATGTCCTGTAGAGTCTGGCTGAATGTCTGGAGCTGTCTGTCGTTCACATGTCCTTTAATCCGCAGGAATCTCGACAGAAACCCGACGGCGGCGTTTATCTCTGGCTTCATCGTTCCTCGGGCACAGAGGGTATGCATTGAGAGGCTCCGGGCGCTGTATGGCCAATGCGCTTTTGTTTCCGTTTGCAAAATGATCCGTGTTTTTCGCGTGTTTTATTTCTCTGATGCCTATGCTGAGCATTTATTTGTCGAGGCAGGGAACATTCGGAGAGTACTACGTGTTCCAGGACGGTACAGTGCTGTGACTTGGTTTGTTTTGTCCGAAAAAGCACATAGAGATGGGCTCCAACCTCCTCCTCTGTCACTGTCCTCCAGCAGAGTAGACCGTAACGAAAGCGAGCGGGGCTTATGTAATGCCCCCGCGCTAACAGCAGCAACAGCAACAACAACGAACCAATCACGATGCTGGCACGAGGTGACGTATGCGCGGAGGAGTGGGCTCATTGCGTCACAACTCTAGAAATAAACAGAGCATGTGAAAAAAGGGCTGGATGATGGCTTTTAACCCTTTCCTCTGAACCAAAACATTGCAGACACTTCTCATGTACAACATCGATATGTATACGTATAATAACGACTCACACTGTCATTTAAGAAATGTACTTCTGCATTCAGTAGTATTCACTGCTGTGATATTTGGAATTTCCCACTCTCTTCAAGGGGAAGACCCTGTTAGTGTACTATAGTGTCTTTATAAACTCACACATGTACATCCCACACAACCACACGTTTTCTGTACAGTAGGTGTATTTTAAGGAAGTCTGTTAGATAAGATAAAAAAGAAAGAAAGAAAGGCCCACTTGAGAGGCAAAAACAAGCTTTGATCGTTTTTACTGTCTAATATAATAAACACACACATTGTAGGATGTTTTTTTTTTTTGCACTATATTTGCATAAAATGACTGGCTTTAGAACACTGCTGGCAAAGACAGAAAATAACCCCAAAAAAAGGTTGTCAAAACAATTTGTATTAGCTTCAAAAAGAGCAAAAAGAAAATGACGGTCTGTATACTGTAATTAGGTTGTAGACCCGTACATTTCCACGGTTTGTTTTCGTCCCTGAGAGAAACCTTGGCATTAGCAGAACAGCAGGTTAGGATGTTTGTATGTGGCTATGTATTTACTTACCAGTGGGAATAAACCGCTGAAAGGTGTTTCTAAAGGACTACAAGGAACACTCTGACCTAATTATGTTGCTTTTTCTGTTGTGGCCAAAGGCAAATCACCTCTGAACTACCATGTGCTGACTCAAGGCTCAACCTGACCTGCCCTGCACACCTATCGTTCAATTACACTGACATCTTGGTTGGTCCAAGAGCAGATGTCAGTATTTAGCAAATAACTATTCTGAGATCGTTGGGTCTCAGGCCTGGTCATCTTTGCAAATCTCTTTGACGCCACTGTTTAGTTGGCAGTATTAAGAAAGCACATTTTATAGAGGCCACTTAATTTTTTTTAAAGGCACTTAATTTTTACAAATTTAAAACAAAAAAAAAAGTAGCATTAGGCTAGTCTCGCGTTGCCAGACCTTCAGACTGACGGCTGAAGGTCTGGAATCCATGGCAGCTTTCATTGGCCAAGGCCCGCCCATGAGGCCATTTGACCGACATGTTAAACAACCAATCACAGTTCGTTTCGTTCAGCGTCACGTTTCGGGGCGTGGAAATTTCGCCACAATAACAGACCGGTGTGTAAAACTTTTGGATGTATTTTAAAGATTCTATGCCGCAAACTTTAAATATTTCACATACTTTTGAAAATCCAGCGTTTAGTTGATCCTGATAAGCGCTCGTCATCACAGTTGTAAACACAACGGCTTTCTTCTTTCGTGAGGGGGTTTGGTGTCACGGCATCTTTGTTTCCAGGCGGAACGTTAAAGAACGCGGCACACAAGTCCCCCGGAAATCCTGTATAATCTAACTAATCCGATGACGGCTTCGAAACTCCTGAAGTGTTTCCACTTTTGTGTGCCATATGCATCAGACGTTCAGCCAGCGGTCCGTGGGCGTGACGTCTGAGGCTGAGACTAGCATTAGGCTACCATTTAGACTGGCTCAAATGAACCAACAAAATATGGAAGCCTGACTATCTCATAAAAATAGTTACTAGTTATAGCGTGAAATAAACATGAATGAACATCAGAAGGTATCTTGTTTCAACCGCGAAAAGATGTCAATACACCATTTTTCAAGTTCAGGTCCACCGATGTTAATCTACTCTCCTGTCTTGTTTGTTTGTCAGACAAAAATGGTGTTATGATTGGTCAGATCGCCTGTCAATCAAACTCTCTGCAAAGGGTCAATTGTGAGTTTTTTTCATCTCACATTTCTAACTTTTTTCTCACAATTCTGACTTGCAAAACATAACCTCAGAATTGTGAAATATGAACCGTCAATTCTAAGGGAAAAAGTCATAATTTGCAAGACGTTAACTCACAATTGCGAATTATAAACTGTCAGTTCTGAGAAGAAAAGTCAGAATTGTGAGGTATAAACTCGCAGTTGTGAGGAAAAAAATCAGAACTGAGATAAAGTCGCAATTACCTTTTTTATTTTTATAAGAAAACAGAATTACGAGATGTAAACTCTGAATTTAGACAATAAAGTCAAAATTCCAAGATGTAAGCTCTGTATTCTTAGATGTAAACACAAAATTGCGAGAAAAAAAAATTCTACATTTCTGTCATACAATTTTGTGTTCAGAATTGCGAGAAACAAAGCCTTAATTGTGAAAAAAGTTGCAATTATTATTATTTTTTATATATATATATACTTTTATTCCATGACAGAAACAGGCTTCCATAACTTCCATAGGCTATATTTGAATCACAATATATTAAACTAAATCCATGAAACAGTTAATAATTAATATAGTCGACTGAATCGAAGCCTCAGGTAAACATGGCAGCCAAGCAGAACATAGCAGGCCTAGTTGCCATTCACCACCGGCACTGGAAAAAATCCAGCGAGACAGAAAATAATACAAATTTTAGTGGCGGTGATGAATCACAACATCACTATATCTGTCCTCTCTCCACCCACAAGTCCAGGGACTCAAAGGGAGAGGATTTCATGCGTTTTGCAGGACTGAGATCAACTTTCCATGTTTCTTTTAGGTAGGATTTTGACAGTGGGGGTACGGACTCTAAATGTTAACGCTGAAACCAGAGCAGTGCTATACTTAGTCCTCCATAGCCCATAGTGCATCAAAAGTAACAGTGATACCCCATATTGTCAATTACTGACCCATTACCGGAATACAGATTCCACACAGACAAGAATAATGACTGTGAAAGAGAACAGAAGGAAAGCAAACATGTTGAGTTTAAGCTCCTTTCCCACTTTTCTCAAGGTGAATGAGATGGGCTATGTAAGACAACACCAATAAAAAGACATGCTGTGGGTTCACTTGACTGAGACAATGTTTTATTACCCCGTTGTTTCTCCATCCCTCACTCTTGACCTCTCTTTAGAGAATACTGCCTTCATCCGTTAGAACTGACGCAATCTTTCCTCTTGACGCAGCTGATAGAGTGAGTAAACATGAGAGAGGGATATCAGAGAGGTGAAGACTGAGAATAGAAGGGTAGAAGAACAGAAATATACTTACAAGGACATAGATAGAACTCTCAGTTATCTAAACTAAACTATCAGTTGTCTCAGAGTGTTGACACAAGTCAACTTGTAATTTCTAATAATATAATTTTATTTCATAATTACATTTATTTATTTCTGTAATATTTTTTATGTTTTTAAGAAGTCTTTTGTGCTCATGAAGGCAGCATTTATTTGGTAAAAATACAGAAAAAAAACTGTAAAATTGTGAAATATTATTGCAATTAAAATAATGGTTTTCTATTTGAATATACGTTAAAATGTATTAAATATATTTAAAATGCTGTTCTTTTTCACTTTTTTCAGCAATAAGTCCTGAAAAAAGTATCACAGGTCTAAGAAATATATTAAACATTCAGCATTGCCAGACCAGAATATTAAAATGGAAAACCATTATTTTAAATTATAATTTAAAGTTTAAAGTATAATATAAAGTTTTTTTCTGTATTTTTGATCAAATAAATGCAGCATTGATGAGCATAAAAGACTTCTTACTGATCCCAAACTTTTGAACACCAGTGTAATATAGCAGATTATATATATCTATTTATTTATTTATTTTTCACATTACATTGTGGCAACATTCTACCATAACGGAATGACATTTTAAATTAACCACACTGTATCCCACACCCATCACACAGACACATTTTACACACATTACACATACCATGAATGATTTTCATTGGACTGAGTATGAGTGTGGTGTTTGGGTTGTGTCTCTGACTCACAGTCCTGGTTCAAACTAGAAACAGTCTTGAAATAAAAAATACCAGTATTAGTTTGCACACTTACTTGATACTGTTGTTTTCGATCCACACTTATTTACAAAACATTTTATTTAGAGGCTCCTTCTGTTGTTATATCAGATAGTGACATTAATAGATCATTGTATTTAAATCTCTCAGGTAAGAAAGTGTTTGTTAAAACTGAAAAAAGAAAAAAAAATCTACAGCTAACTCAAAAGTTCAATGCAGTTCTACCAGTATTTCAGAGTATGCAGAGTAAGTCATAAAAAGGAAAGCCAATAAACCTCAGGGACTGCAAAGATTTTCAGCATGGCTTATGAATAAACTGCTGATGGAAAAAAGGGAAAATGTCCTTCAGGTATATAACTATGGGTCCAAATGAAACCTCCAAACCCCTCAGTGACTCATCTCCCTCTCTTTCCTCCAGTTCTAATCCAGGAAGTATGGGAGTGCTCTTTCTAACGGTTGGAAGTGAAAACCCCCAACTGTGTGGTTTGGCCATGGCTTCTACACGCAGGACATTCCACTGGAAACTCAACCCCTTTTCGGCTCAAAGACCTTCACACGCTTCCCATTCATTTCCACAGGCTCTGAAAACACGTTTTTGAAACACTAACGAACAGGAAGCGACATTCGGGAAGATTTTTTTTTTTCGTAATTTTTCAAACTATTGGCCCTTGATAACCTCTGAACTGAGTTTAAGCAACCTTACAGACCTTGGCTCTATTAATAGGGGTGCTAATCTGTGCTCCCCACACTCCGTATCTGTCCATATCTCCCCTAGTCGCCAGGCTGGTATGACTTTATTTTTAGAGGCGAGAGAGAAGAGGACTACTTCATTTTTACTATTTGTTTGTTTTTGTATTTTTTAGCCTTTAGATAAAGAAATCCTTTAAATGTTGTATTTGGCCCTGCCATATTAATACTAAAATTTTACTGTTACTAAAAATATTACTAAATTTGACTGAATTGGCAT